AATCAATCATGAGAGAACAGAAGGGCAGTATTTGCACAGGGAGATAGCTCAGGGGGCAAGAATGCATAGGAAAGAAGGGCACAGGGAAGAGGGAAGAGATTTCCCGCTTGTGAGGAATTGCAGTCAATGTCATGAAACAAAATGTGTATGAACTGCTGTATGGAAAATGAATTTTCTCTGTAAACTTTCACCCAAATCACAATAAAAATTAAAAGGAGAAAGAAAATCCCACGGAGTGTGGTTTTACTGTGACACACAAGAAGCCACCATGAGTCAGAACTGACTTGATAGCAAGTGGTTTGGCTTTTTTTTTTTAACCTATATATTCATAGCCATGACTTTAGGAATTAAGCCTTCATGTTTAACTATCAAGGTACAAAAATAACAAGATGGTAGCACTGAGTGTTATTGTTCAGGACACAGCCACAGCCACGTAGTGGAATGGAGCCAACCAGAAGGGACAGGGAGCTGCAGGGGCAGGTTCTGGAGGGATAGATGCAGCTGAAGAAGCCCTGGCAGTAGAAGACAGAATATGGCACAAGAAAATCTTTCCCTGGCCACTCAGAAAAACCAGAAACCAAACCCACTGCTAACAAGTCGATTCCAACTCATAGTGACCCAACTGCCCCATTGGGTTTCCAAGGCTGTAAATCTTTATGGAAGCAGACTGCCTCATCTTTCTCCCATGGAGTGGCTAGTGGGTTCGAACTGCTAACCTTTTGGTTAGCAGCCACAAGCCTTTACCACTGCATCACTAAGCTCCTCAGCCATCTGTTGTTGTTGTTATGTGCTGTCAAGTCGGACCCAATTCATAGCAACCCCTCCTTGGATTTCCAAGGCAGTATCACTATGGAATTAGATTGCCCCATATTCATTAAATTGATTTACCATGCCGGTCATGAAGAGTATGAAGTCAAATGTTTATTCACTCCTCTGGTGGAAGTTCCCACATGTTTTAGTTACCATGCCTCTCTGTGTAATACTCACTAACTGTATGCTAACCCCCACAGAACCTGAATAGTAATCAAATATCCAAACCAAGTGCAGAAGGTATGAATACAGTAAAAGGATGACAGTGTTGGAGGACTTGCTGTGAATAATTTCACAATAACAGCTCCAGTTAGCTTTATATGTTGTTATTGTTGTTGTTAGTTGCCTTTGAGTCACCCCTGACTCATGGTGACACCAAGCACAGTGGAACAAAACATTGCACAGTCCTGCCCCCTCCCCATGATCAGTTGCAAATCAGACTGTGGTGGTTCATTCATAGGGTTCTTGTAGGCTCATTTTCAGAAGTAAATCTCCAGTCCTTTCTTCCTCATCTTAGTCTGGAAGCTTTGCTGAAACCTGTTCAGCATCAGAGTAACACCCAAGCCTCCACTGACAGATGGGTGGTGGCTGCACATGAGATGCATTGGCTGGTGTGGCAGTTCAGTTTGTGTGTCAACTTGGCTGGTCCTGGTTGAATGCCTGGGCAGCTGGATATAGTATTCTCCATGATGAGAATAGTAATCATCTCCATGGTGGAATCTACTGTGAGCAGCTGTGTAGCTGCCTTAGGGATGTGGTCTGCTTCCTGTATATAAGCAGCAGCCTTGGGGAACGGTCTCTAGCTTATGGCACGCTTGGACCCTGCATGTAGCCATGTCATTGTTTAGCAGCCTGCCATGCTCTGCTGACGTTGGGACTTACAATGGTCTTGAATTAATGGCCTGCCGTGTGGTTTAATAACATCGAAACTGTGCCTTTTCACTTGTCAACCTTGGGCTTGGCAGCCTCAGCAGCCAGCAGCTGTCTGGGTGAAGAAAAAGCCTCTAGCTTCATTGGGCTGGGAACTAGAGGCAGAGCTGAAGCCCAAGGCTGAGGGCCTTTCACCCAGCCTCTAGAGCCTGGCACTTTGAACTTGGACTTAAAGGCTCCAAGCTGTAAGAGAATACACTCCTGTTTGTCAAGACCATCCCATTTGTGGTATATTCCTGTCAGAGTGGCACTGGGGAACCAGAGCAGCTGGGAATGGAATCTAGGGCTCCCGCATGGAAGGCAAGAATGCTACCACTGAACCACTGCTCCCCCCAGGAGCCTTAATAGACTTTTTTTTTTTTTTTTTTTAATTCATCAGTAGGTGAGAACAAACTAGAGCTTCCATTACACTTTGCTTTTTGTGTAATTTCAAACCAGTCAGATTGATAGGTGGGACTGAGCACATTGGGTCACATAAATACATCAATGTACCCTAAACGTCCATAGAAATGACTTGCCCCATTTGGAATGAATTCTCCTGTTAATATTGGTAATTAAGAGCTGGGCAACTTCCAGCCAGAGGAATGTGTTTACATTTACTTTAAGTACCAACAGGAACATAGAATAAAATACTGCAAGGTTTGAGGAAAAAGAGCATGATCACATTGTGAAAACTGTCAAGATGAACCCTCAGCCACCTTCTTTTCCTCTCCCCAGGGCTGTAACAGCACCACGTACATACAGGATGCCTTCCAGCTGCTGCTGCCCGTCCTGCAGGTTTCACATATCCAGACCAGTTGTTTGAAAGCACAGCCGTGACCGCGCCTGACTCCATCTGGTTAAAGGAAGTGGCAGGCCTCGGAGCTCCAACGAATGCCATTTGAGGGGATGTTTTTTAAGCGTTTGGTGGGTTTTAGAGGCCCATTTGAGGACACTACAAGCAATTTTGCACAGACAGTATTGAGAGCAAGTTTAAAGAGAGTTATCATCTCTTAATGTATATGGTCGTTTTTACCAATAGTTGTGTTTTCTTTATGTTAATTTAAACATAAACAGCTTGTATGGAGAATTTCCTTTAATCTGAAATTCATTGACAAATGTTAATTTCCGTTTTCCTGGCAAAGTATGATGTTTAAAATTCATGGGCAAATCTTAGATTTTTGTTTTTCAATCTTTAAATTTCCCATTCTTAATGTATGATTTTAAATCAGTTCTTATAGTGACTTTTGTTTTGCTACATAAATGTCAGGGCAAAGATAACACTACTTACAGATTTTATCTGTTACGGTCAATGAGGAACGTAGTCTTTATAGTTATAGACTCTAGTTGTTCATTCTCTCGACAAGCATTTATTGAGCACCTACTGTGTGCTCACAATAGAGGAACATGATCCCAGTAGAACCAGATATTGTAAAAGAAGGTGTACAATAATTCTTAACATGTCTAAAAATAGCAATAAATTTGAAAAGCAAGGTAAATTAGTGGTTTTTAATGTTCTGTCCTTCAGTTTATTGTGTTTTTCTGCATTCTTTTAATCTTTTTTATCCCAAATATTATACATGGGGTGAAAATACATATATACATATATAGGATGTTAAAGAATATTTTTAAGTTGACTTGTTATGGTCATGAGCACATAAGGTCCTAATTACAAAGCTTGGAAGTATCCAGATAGAAATTTTAAAAGTTTCAACACAGCAGAATCCAAATACTGAATTTAAAACTCTGCTGAAAGGCACAGTTGAGTCATGGTGCTCCATTAATACACAGATCACACTTCCCAGAGGCAAATACTATCATCACTTCTAAAGCACAGAAACAATACCGATGTGTAGGCTGAGTAACTGGTGTACTGATCCATGGGAGGCTGTGCCAGGAAGGCCGTTGTCAATGGCATTCCACTCCGGAGCGCCACAGCTTGATTCCAGGTGGGGGTTCTGTATAATGCTACCACTTCAGAGCTCCATCGACAGCCCTCCAGGCACTGTCACAGGGTGTCTTGTCCAGTGACTTCTTCAGGCCAAATGAAGCCTGTATCTTTGCAAGGTTGGGAATCTCTTACTCACGTTTGCTTTTGTTCCCCTGATGGAGTGGACTGTACTTCCATACAGGCAAAGTAGTTTTCATATCATCCCACTTCTCATTAACATTCCCTTTGTCTAGTGTATACATCCTCAGACAGCTAAACAGAAAACAAAATGAACAATTCATTTACTATCTGGGAAAGAAAGTTCTCTGAGGAATTGATTGAACAAACAATTTTCAAAGGAGCTAGATTGGATTCCCAGATTTAAAAACTGCACCCATTTGGTGTATAGCAAAATTTTTTTATATGAAATAATCTAGAGAACTTTTAAAAAACAAAAGACAATTATTCTGAAAATGTATTTACACTACATTTACCTATCTTTTAAGGAGCTCTGGTGGCACAGTGCCTCAGGCATTTGACTCCTAACCAGAAGGTTGACAGTTCAAACCCACCAGTTGCTCCGCGGAAGGAAGATGGGGCAATCTACTTCTGTAAAGATTGCCCTCCTGGCACACCCAATGGGGATCGTTATGAGTCAGAATTGACTCGATGGCAGTGAGCTGCTTCTTTTTTTTTATTTAACCTATCTTTTAATGATAGAATATCAAGACATGCAGAGGGAGATATAGCTACAAAGTCCATGAATTACATTTATTAAGAAAGAATAATCACTTAAAATACAGCCACCTGCCACTTACTGCTCTCTTTTAATACTGTTTTTGACCATGACTTTTAAATAATTGCTTCTTTGCTTTGCTTTAAAACCTGACTGAGCACAAGATCTGTATCTGGGCACATGTCAATCAGCTATTGAATGATTTAGCAGGCTTACATGGAAGTTTTGTATTCCTTCAATAATCCTTTACATAAATTAGGTTCATTTCACTCTATGTAATTATCCTGAACAAGCATGTCAGGTTTTTTCCTTCCATCAAGTGCAAAATAACTTCTAGTCTAAATAATGAATATGGTCCTGTGCCTGTGCCTTATTAAATAAAAAGCATCAAAAGCATATTTCAGATTCAAAATAAAATATGTTCAAGAAAACTTGCTCTTGGAATTTGATACATATAGATCTAAAGGGCAAAATTGAGTCCCAGATCTTGATACAAAGGCCTAGCTTAAATATTTTATCCCACAGAGAACAGCAGTCTCTGTTTTTCCCTGGATCTCACACTGGGCTGTAGAGCAAGCTCATGGTTTAATGAAAAGGGTGACTAGCTGAGGCCGTGGCAAAAGTGAACTGGGATACTGCAGCTGCCTCATCAGCACCAACTAAGGAACTGTGGGCTTCGGCTGCAGAACTGAAAGGAGATGAAGGAAGCACCAGCCTTGGGCAGGCTAAGGACAAGTGCTAAATAGAGGGTAGGGGCCTGAACCCAGAAATCAGAGCATTTTCTTGTGCTTTTTAGAAGGCAGCTTCCCTGAGGTGCTCATATCTCGGAAGACACCTGTCTGCACAGACTGGCCCCATTGGGCTGCTGTTTGAAACACAAGCAGACATTCGGATCATAGTCATGCCAGAGGTCAAGGACATACCATCTCAGGAAAACAACTCAGCAGAAATCTGAAATAACATGTTATTTTTCCTTTCCTTAAAAAAAAAAAAAAAAAAAAAAAATTTTTTTTTTTTTTTTTTTTTGGAGTGTCTGCTGAAGTGCTAGGGTGGATCATAATGCATGACTTAAATTATTTTGTAAAAATTGTTCCTTGATCTTCCTCTTAAGTGTGCACTGCACTCCACAATTCAAGGTGGTTCTTAAATTACTGTTTGTAAAGAGCCTTTGAAGGAGATGATATGGAAAATGGTCCTCTCCATGTTAGAGCTGCAGTTTTGCTCAGGTTTTGTAGGGGATTAGAATTCAGAACACCATGGAAATGGGTTCAGACCAGCTATTCTCATAAAGAAAAGAATCATTTGGTTAAGCATTTGTCTTGTTATTCTAGCTATCTCTTAACTTATTCAGGTTTATGTTCACTTTCTGTATATTTACCCTTAATACATGCTGCACCACAGTATCTGCTATTAAACAAATCTGAGGAAAGACACCATTCTGTTTGCCTTTTTTTTTTCCCCTCCCTTAGGCCCTAAAAATCACCTGAATTATTCTACCCTTTGAGCATTTTCCCTTTAGGAACTATTAAGTTATTAAATCCCAAACAGTAAGAACTGTATTTATGATGTTTTTGATATTTCTGGCATCTTGGATCATCCTAGATGGGGAATTGTTATTATGTGCTGTGGAGTTGGTTCCAACTCGTAGCGACTCTGTTGTGTACAACAGAACAGAACACCACCAGGTCCTGCACCATCCGCATGATTGTTGTTGTATTTGAGCCCATTGTTCCAGACACTGTGTTAATAGTGGGAACAGAAGACTGAGAATAGAAGCCAATAATTGGGGTGGGGGGAGCAGCCAATAATGGAAGGATGGAATTGTGTGATGGGATTTAAGCTGTATTTACCTTCGTCTGGATCAGAGTGTATCTTTCTCTGCATGAGCTGTCAGCCAAAAGGCAATAGGATTATGTCAGCCTGTAGTCACTACTGATTCACTTGACAGGCCTGTCTCATCTATTAGTCTCAAAGGAGCTCTCCCCTGCAAAGGACGAGCATGTGTGTTTCTTACGTGCCTTCACTGGAGTACACAAGTTTAGGGCGAGTCAGAGATGGTCTGTCTCCCTGCCCTCAATTTCATCAGTAGGCTGCTGGAGCTGCCGTGTGGAGGGAAAGCCAGCATATGAGCAATGGCCAGATGGACAAAACCTTGCCAGAAACAAAGCTAAGCCTCTGCCTTTGAGCTCCTGCCCCCTTATCCTGCTTTTCTCTCAGGATGTTTTTTGACAGCCATTGAGCACCTCCCTTCCTAGCTAAGCTTTAAACTCCTTGCCTTTCTTTTCCATATCATTTCTTCCCTTCTGTACATTTCTACTCTCCTTTTCCCACTTGCCTCCCTAGAAAACAATGTGTCCCCAAAATTACAATGATAATCTATACATATTACAGACTTATCTATGGTGGGCACTGTGCCAAGGGTTTGATAATGCATGATCCCATTTCATTTGCATGATCACCCTATTAGGTAGGTAGTGCTGGATAGATGGGGGCTGTATTGGCATAGTGCCTAAAGCATTTATTTGACTGCTAACCAGAAGGCTGGTGGTTCAAAGCCACCAGCCCTCCTCGGAAGGAAGATGGGTGATCTACTAGGCAATCTATCTACTAGGCGTAATGATACTGCTTTGGAAACCCAAGGAGGGGTCACTGTGAGTCAGATCCGACTCAACGGCAGTGAGTTGTTTTGTTTTGTTTTTTTTACTAGGTTGATACTATTAAAATCTCCATGCACACATAAGAATATTAAGACCAAGAGAAGATATACTGTCTAACTCATCAGAGTTTCACAACTAGTAAAACAGAGCCAGAATTCGAACCCAGGTCTGTTTGGCCTGAGAGCTGCATTTAAAACTATTGTGCAGAACCTCTGATCACTCAGATGTATATGTTGAGCTCACTTTAAGAGGTGAGGTAGATTTGTAGCTAAAAGATTTGGTCAGCAACCTTGGCTGTTTCCATGCAACTGAGAGTAAACGAGGACTAAAGAGACAGAGAATGGAGTCATATGAGTTTGTTGGATGCCTGGGTTGTTCTCACCACAGGCCTTTTCACCACCTCACAGACATTTACATGAAGCAGCCTCGTTGTCATCGACACAGCAGCCTGTCTCCTACAGGTGCCTTTGATATCACTAAAATGTCTCCATTTCCTCCTGCCATTTCCCTTTCTGGTGCCACAGAGGCATCTTTCCTGAAAAGTTTTACTCTCTGTGACCTTCCTGGTATATGGGCTTTCATATGCTTTGCCTGTCTTGAAAGACTACAGATATGTGACAGCTTTTCAGCCGTCTATTCCACATGCTGGGAGACAGTGACGACTGTTTCAAAGAATTCCTTTCTGCTGCCGTTCCCGTGGTGTTGTCAGGTGCTGTCGAGTCATTTCCGACTCATAGTGACCCCATGTGGCAGAGTAGAAC